GTGGCTGCGATGATGGGCTCAAGTATAGCAGGGATTGTGGGGCTGGCGCAGGATCGGGCAGTGTTTTGTTCTACTGTGCATGGGGTCGTTATGAGCCAGAAACGACTCGATGGCACTTAACAAGAACATCATGTCCTTGATGACTTCATTCAATTTTTTCAAGCCCCAGCATGCCATTTTCTTTCCATAATCATATCACAGTGAGGGAGTTGAATGTGACCATACATTAACTGATAAATGATAATTTGGATATGCCAATATTTGTGTTGATTTTAGATAGTTATGGAAATTTTAGTTCAAGGACTTTCCAAAGGCTACCTCATATGATTTTTCTGTCTTAACGAAGCCACAGTTCAACCAGTCACCAAGAGTGAAATCTCAATAAATACTTTTATCTCCAAGCAATCACTATTTACTTAATATCTGATCATAAAGTATACTTTTCCTTTCACAATATTACTTACATTTCTTTTTTTATACCCTTCATTGTTATAGCCCTCTTATAGGGCCTTATTGTAAGATTTTCCTATTTCATATAAGATTACACAAAATAATGGGACACTGTAACTTTAATCAAACTCACTTTCCAATATTGTAAAAATATTGATTTCATCATATATAACCATCATCAAAGCATATTAACTACTCTCCTTTATACATAGAATAAAATCCAGTTGTCTTATAGTCAAAATTCTAAAGAATCTGAATCCAAGTTAGATTCAACCCACATCTTCCAGTATGTGGTTACTTAAACCCTCACTATTTCTGAATCTCTTTGAGGAACTGCTACCAAATACACAATTAATCAAATGTGGTTGGGATTAGTCCACTTCATGTCCTAGGCTTTAATCATTGAACATTAAAGTTCTGATTGCTGTCTCATATTCTCAAAAAAACACTCTCTGCTCTTAAGTTGATTCATCTCGTAATGACCCCTCCTTGGGTTTCTGAGGCTGTATCTCTACAGAAGTAGATCGGCCAATCTTCCTTCCGAGGAGTGACTGGTGGGTTTGAACCAGCCAATTGCCTTAGGCACTATGCTACATACACAAACTGATCCTACTAGAGAGGGTAGGGACAGTTTCCACACAAATAGTATCATTTGCTCTTTCTACTGCACCTTAGAAGCTTTGAGAAACTGACCCTGAGATCCTGCGTCCTGAATGCATACACCATGGGATTAAGGGCTGGTGGGATGATATTGTGTAGCACATTGAGAAGTACAGGTATCAGGGGCACCTTCCTCTCAGCCAGGTGTGTGACAGACACTACAACAATGGCTGTATAGAAGAAGAGGATGAGAATGAGATGTGAAGAACATGTGCTTAGGGCTTTTGCTGATGCTTTTTTTGAGTTCAGTCTCAGTACAGATCTCAGGATAAGTGTGTATGACAAGACGATCATGCCAAGGTCACCACCCATAAGAACCCAGGCCAAAATCAATTGGCAAATTCTGTTAGAACTTACATCATCACAGGCCAGGCTGGTGACACCCAGGTTGGAGCATAGACAGTGTTCAATCTCATTTCTGGAGCAATAATTTCTCTGGGATGCCAACACAGGCACTGGGATGACTAAGAGCCCATTCCTGAGCACCATGAACATGGTAGCTTTGATTACAAAGGATTCAGTAATGACAGATGGATATCTCAATGGGTGGCAAATGGCCACATATCGATCCATAGCCATGCATAGGAAGATACCTGACTCCATGCCCAGAAAATAGTGGATGGCATAAATTTGAACAAAGCATTCAGGAAGACTGATGGACTTGTTATCAAACCAGAAGATGGCCAGGATCTTAGGCATGATGGTGGTGGCTAAGCCCATATCTGTCACAGCCAAGATACCAAGGAAATGGTACATAGGCTGCAGAGTAGTCATTTGATAGATGGCAAGAAGAATGAAGACGTTGGCAGCAAGTGCTAAGAGGTAGATTATTGCCAGGGGCAGAGAGAGCCAGTGTTGCCAGCTGTGAATGCCTGGGAGTCCCATCAGAAGGAACTGTGAAACATGCTCTTCAGAACTGTTGGAAAGTCTGGGATACGTAGGCATTCTTCTAGAAAGATATAATAGTCAAGCTTAGAATATTTTATTAATATCATTGAGCACAATAAAATAAAAATCATTAGCTACCTGTATGTAGAAACTTGTATTTGACATTTTAAAAATATAATTGCATTCATTTCTTTAGAAATATAGAATTTAAAATTTCTAACATAGGCAAGAAAACATATTTTCCTGGTCAGACATGAGTGACTAATCAAATTTGCCTAAAATCTGTGTCTCTTTAGGGACACTTAGCTTTTTATATAAAAATTCTCCCTTAGTATCTACTGAGTCAATTTGTTGTTATTGTTAGCTGTCATGGAATCAGTCCCTGATTCATAGGGACCCTGCACACAACTGGATAAGACCCTTGTGTTTCACAGGGTTTTCATTCATTGATTTTCAGAAGTCGATCATCATGCCTTTCTTCCTAATCTTAATCTAGTAGCTCTGCTGAAACCTGGTCAGTGTCCTAGCCATACCAAAGCTTCTACTGACAGAGGAGTGGTGACTCCACATTTGAAGTGAATTAGCCAAGAATTGAACAAAAATCTCCTGTTTGGAAGGTGAGAATTCTAGCACTGAACCACCATTGCCCTGAGTAAACCTACACATGTGTAAATTTGCACCCAACATTTTTCCTCCAACTACAATGAAAAAGTGACTCTTTGTGACTAAAACAGTAAGGCTCTCGACTCATGTGCTGGACTACATCTCTCCCAATACTGAGGGATTTCACTGTATTCATTATTCTCTGTGCCTATCTTTTAACTGCTTCCTTCTAAGTACGTTCAATTTTCTACTATTTTATAAATACTCTCTTAATCTCATAAACCTATTCAGTTACTGCTTTATCTTAATAAAGAAGATCAATTTGATTTGGTTTCAAACTCATTTGTTTCAGTTTCTGAGAAAAAAGGCAGAAGAAGCCACTTTGGTAGAGCATGTGACCATCGTTTAAAGAATGATAGCACTAAGAATTCATGTGAATTCATTTATTTTCAAAATATATTCAAGGAAATCTTTCAAAAATACTGATCAGTTCATTACCCTTGTATCCACCTAACTCAGAATAAGAGTCAAGGTCCTTACAACAGCTCTTAACGGTCCACAAAATCTGGTATCCTGCTAGCTATGGTATTTTCCAATTGCCTCATATTCATACAAAAACCAGAACATGAATAAGGAAGACAGAAAAACTGATGCACTTGAATTATGGTGTTAATGAAGAATATTGAATAGACTATGGACTGTGAGGAATCTGTCTTGAAAAAAGCACAGCTGTACTGCTCCTAAGAAGCAAAACTGGCCAGACTTCATCTCTGTATTTTGGTCATGTTATCAAGAGGGACCAGTCCCTGGGGTAGGATACCATGCTGGGTAAAGTAGAGGGTCAGTGAAAAAGAGGAAGACTCAACGGCATGGATTGACACAGTGGCCGCAACAAAGGGCTCAAGCATAGCAATGTTTGTGAAGATGGTGTAGGATCTGGTGGTGTTTCATTCTGTTATACACAGGGTTGCTGAGTTGGATCTGAATAGAGGGCACCTAACAACACCAGTGCTATCTGACCTCATCTCCTACAATCTTTCCCCTTTCTCGTACCACGGAATCATATTGGGCTTCTGACTGCTTCTCAAACTATTTAGGCACATTATGCCCTTAGGACTTTTCCTTTTCCCGGAATATTCATTCACCAGAAAACCTAAGGTCTAGTGGCTAAATTATGGTAGGTACGGCAAATGCCCCAGCCACCACTTGAAAGGAGGTGCTATTGAGCTGTTTCTATTAACCATTATAGTTTCCATAAGGTTTGAGAGATCATTCAGCAAGTTAAAACTAATACTTTCATATTTGTTTCTGTGGGTCAAGGCAAACTGTGATATTTCCTCTCCTCAAATTGTTTATCAGTGATCAACCTTAACTCAGAATTATCTGGTATGAAAGGGCAGTAGTTGGTGGTCTGGCGGAGCGAGAGATTTATTTCTTGCCATCCAGCTCAGGTCTTTGTCCTTTAATTTTAGTGTACTTTTCTCCAATGAGCGAAGAGATTTTGAAACTCGGCTCCAAGGAGGCCAGCTGAACGTCATTTATTTCTCTTCCCATTTCTAACCATTTAGAGAATCCTCTCATTCCTCCTGCTCTCCCATTTGAGATGGCCTAGACATCGAGATATCGTAGTGCCTAAGGCACTTGACTACTAACCAGAAAGTTGGCGGTTCAAACCCAACAGCCACTCCTCGGAAGGAAAATGGGGCAATCTACTTCCATAGTGATACTGCTTCAGAATCCGAAGGAGGGGTCGCTTTGAGTTGGTTCCTACTCGACGGCACATGACAACAACAACAACAACAGGCATAGAGACCGCCTAGTGGTTCTCCCACCTTTTTGCCGTTTGCTCCACCTTGCTGTGGTCTGATTTCAAAACGTGCTCCTCTCTCATTGCCCAGGGATGACTATTGGTGTGGGCCAGGTGTGTGGGCCATGCAGGGCATGAGCGCACATCTTGGGGGCCACAGATATGGGCATGTCCAAAGTGTGCCTCTTCCAGGGAAGCAGTTTGAGTGTAAGACTCCTGCACCTCAGGCAGAGATCCTGCAATGCTCTGCTGAGTACAGGAAGAGAAAAAAAACTGAATAAAATAACTTAGAACCCTATCTTAGACCAATTTTCATTAGTGAAAGCAGGGAAAGTGCAGTTGTAATTTTTATACAGTGCCATGATGTGTGAAGTAAAAGAATTACAAGCTTGATTTGTATTTTAGAGCTGATATTTTGGTAAAGTTACCTAAAAGATGGCTGCCAGATGTTTAGATAGGGAAGCAATTTCAGTGCTTGTCATAGGTGAGGTATATACATACATATATACAAATATATTTACATATATATATATATATATATATAACTTTTCCCAAACAGAGCCTCTGCTAAGCACTTGTTCTCTCAACTCTCCTTAAGCTTTAGCTCAAATGTCATACCTGTAAAGTATTTCCAGATACTTTTTGTTCCGGTTACCTAGTGCACTCTGACAGGAAACATACCACAAATGGGATGGCCTTAGCAAACAGGAGTTTATTCTTACGATTTGGAGGCTTTAAGTCCAAGTTCAAGGTGCCAGGCTCTAGGGGCTGGGTGAAAGCCCCTCACCTTGGGGTCCACCTCTGCCCCCTGCTCCCTGCCCACTGGAACCAGAGGTGTTTCTCCACTCAGATGGCTGCTGCCTGCTGAAACTGAAAAGCCTGAGGTTGACAAGTAAAAAGGCACATTTCCGATATTACCAACCACGTTGCAGGCCATTAACTTAAGTCCATTGTAAGTCCCAAGGTCGGCAGAGCATAGCAGGCTGCTGAGCAATGACATGTCTACATACAGGGTCCAAGTGTGCCATAGGCTAGAGACCATTCCCAAGGCTTCTCCTTATATACAGGAAGCAGACCACATCCCTAAGGCAGCTACTCAGCTACTTGTGATAAATCCCACCATGGAGTTGATTGCTAGTCTCATCATGGGGAATAACTACCACCAGCTGCTCAGCCACTCAACCAGGCCCAGCCAAGTTGACACAAAAACATAATCACCACAATTCCACCCCTTGTCAATTGGCATCTGTGCAGACCTTCAATGGGTGGTATTTATTTTAAATTACCCTTTATGCCTTTACCACTTTTCTTGCTTTATCCTTTGCCGTAGCACTTACCTGAGTCTGACATGCAGTATACACTTTTCTTATTTCTTTCATGTACTTAGATCACCAAAAAGAGCTCATCAAAAGCAAGGATTTATGCTTTTTTAAAAAAATTTAATTTCTATTCATGTTTATTGATTTATATACTAAAGTTAAAACATTAGGTACTCACATATATACATATATATTTGTTGTTGTTATGGGCCGTCGAGTTGGACCCGACTCATGTAGCTTATTTGTTAAATAAAGAATAAATGAGTGGAACATTAAAAGCACCACAAAGACCCATTGCAATCCAGTCCATTACAAATAGGACAGAGTAGAACTGCCCACAGCATTTGCCAGGCTGTAACATTCACAGAGGCAGACTGCCACAGCTTTCTTCTAGGAAGCATCTGGTGGGTTCAAACTGTTGATCTTTTAGCAACTGAGTGCACCACCACGGCTCCTTTAAGCGACCACAGCTAAACTTATTCTCAGCCAATTAATTGTGCAGCTGAGAAATGGGCAAGAGCACTTCAAAGATTTGTTTCAGTCCTGGTGGCAGAAGAAAAAGAGAAATAAAGATGTCCCAGTTCTTGAATTTCTCAAAGCCACTAACATTCACATCAACTTGATTTCAATCAATTTGCTGCCCTCACAAAAGTGTTGCCTCTGACATTTTACTCTTAATAACAATTTCTTCATTTGTTCTCTTACTTTCACTGTAGATTTTCTTCAATACAAAGACTTGAAAGTTATAAGAGGAAGGAATTTTTGTCTGTTTTGTTCACTTTTTTTCATATTGTGTTTCCTGTATGTCACTAGCATCTAACAATGTGATTGAACCATAATAGGCATTTGATACATATTTGTTATATGAATGATTGAATATATTCCTGTGTCTTATTTCTTACATGCAATAAACATGCTAAAGTTTTTTTCAGTTTTCCCTCCATTACACACTATCACATTCCTTCAACATATTCCCTCAACACATCTTTGTCCATCATTTAACAAAACAAGCATTTCTGCAGACAATAATACTCTGTACTTCTTCCGTTGTCCATGTTAACTGCTCAGTTCAACAAAATGAGAACTTGCTCTTGTTAATAGAGCTCTTGCTCCTGCTAATACAAATCCAGGAGGTACTATGTAGCCTCATATTACTTATTTACTCTACAGAATTTGACACTATTGAGTATATTCTACTTTTCAAAAAGCCACTCTCCCTTATTTGTTGACGTTCCACACTGGATTACTTATTTTCTCTGAGGAGAATTCCTTAATATGAATCTCTGAGAATTAGCTGTCCCCTTCCATACTTTCTCTTCTCCT